ACAAAATGTCACACAAAGAAGCTTACAGTTGGCTAAATGTCGCACAAAGAAGCTTACAGTTGGCAAAATGTCGCACAAAGAAGCTTACAGTTGGCTAAATGTCGCACAAAGAAGCTTACAGTTGGCTAAATGTCGCACAAAGAAGCTTACAGTTGGCAAAATGTCGCACAAAGAAGCTTACAGTTGGCTAAATGTCGCACAAAGAAGCTTACAGTTGGCAAAATGTCGCACAAAGAAGCTTACAGTTGGCAAAATGTCGCACAAAGAAGCTTACAGTAGGCAAAATGTCGCACAAAGAAGCTTACAGTTGGCAAAATGTCGCACAAAGAAGCTTACAGTTGGCAAAATGTCGCACAAAGAAGCTTACAGTTGGCAAAATGTCGCACAAAGAAGCTTACATTGGCAAAATGTCGCACAAAGAAGCTTACAGTTGGCTAAATGCCTGAGAGAATGCCCCACTGAAAATGATGAAAATATGAAACCTTAAAAACCATAATTGAATTGAATCCGCATTGAAACATACATATATTTAATAAACGTGGAGGGGGTGGGGAAATGGATAAAAATCAGTGGTTATGATTATAATGGGTCACAACCAATCAAGTTTTGTTTGAATAAGGGAAACAACTTTAAAAGACGACTTCAATAGATTCATTGAATTTTTTTTAAATGTCATAATGTTTGTGTGGTGTATTTTGGTGGGTTTAACAAATTTAAATGCTAATATCAGAAAGCTATGATAGAGTCAATTCATTTAAAGTTAAGTAACACATTCATTGTGATACTAGTTTGGAAGAAAATATTTAAAGTCTTCTACTTGACTTGTCTCGCAAATATGAAATGGCTGGTCCCTGTGATCCCAAATCAGTGGTGCTCAACCCAAACATAGAGCCCCACAGGCCAACCTCCTGTCCCCCTCCCCTCAGGCAGGGCAAAGCCGGGCGCAACCCCACAATACAGTGATGATATCCGGCGGGCCCGGGCCTTCAAAGCGTCATCCCTCCCCTCACCTTCCAGAATGCGTGCCACCTATTGGGGAGAAGCGGAAAACGCATGTATAGAACCAGTAGCGATCACGAAGGCATCAAAGTAGAAGGCCCCAATACACGAGTAGCTTAATAATTTGACCCTAACCCAGCGGCTCCAAAATCCTCCAGTTATGCGGACCCCCCCCCCCCCCCCACTTTTTCCCATAACATTTAACCATTACCAAGTGGCGGTGACCTACAACCAGTGTTTCTTTCAGAAATTTTTCCCGGGGGGGGG